CTCCAAGGATCCCCCACCACTACTCCAAGGATCCCCCACCGCTACACCAAGGTGCTGCATGATCACGCCACAGCGCAGGGAGGCTGATTCGCAGGTGGTGGAGATCTCACAAGCATGGAAGGAGGTGCAACAGGCTCCAGAGAGGCGTTACTCATAGGATACTACACTGCTACTCTGATGTGCCTCCCAACCACACTGTAGCGGGGCAGGCTGGGCTGCGCGCCGTGGGATGGGGCGCACCTCAAGGAAGCATGCGGGCCCAAGGGTGGCCTACTCATAGGATCCCCCACAGCTACTCCAAGGATTGCACACCACTACTCCAAGGATCCTATACAGCTACTCATAGGATACACAGCTACCCCGCACTGCTGCATGACTACACCATGACACAGGAGGCTGGGCTGCATGTGGGGTGCACCCTGCTAGCATGCAGGGGGGCATGCAGACCCCGAGGGAGTCCTTACTCACAGGATACTACAGCGCTATTCCTGACGCGTGGTATGATCGTGCCACGGTGCAGGGGGCTGGTCAGGGAAGGCTCCCAGGGGTGCAAGGAGGAGCACAGGCCCTGAGGGGGCCTACTCACAGGTTACTACACCACTACTCTGCTGTGTTGCATGATCATGCTGCAATGCAGGGAGCCCGTTCGCACTGGGGGCGGGGGGGATTTTGCAGGTGTGCAAGGCGGCACACGCCCCCAGGAGTAGCAGGGCCTTACTCACTCCTCATCCTGGAGGCGCTCCTCCTCCTCCTGTGCCTGGAGACGCCCCCGCACGGGGGCCAGACCCTCGGTGGCAGCATCGTAGTTGCGGAAGCAGACGGTGAGCTTCTCGTCGAATTCCTGCACCAGGTCCTCCATTGACTTGAAGCTCATCATCTCGGCCGAGAAGCTCTCCAGCTCCGCCAGCGTCGGGTCCGCGGTGCGTTGCGGGGTCCCCCCATCGTCCCCGGGCCCCTCCTCGAACTCCTCCTCCAGGCTCACCAGGGGCGCCTCCATCCTCCTCAACCCCGATGCGCCGCCTTAGCTGCGGGGAGAGGGTGCCCGTGAGGCACCGGGCTACTCACAGGTTACACCACCAGGGCTCCCCCTCCCTTGGCTGCTGCCAGGGCCGTTACACCACCAACAGCATCTCTGTAGTATCCTAGTAGTATCCCAGCAGCATCTTAGTCCCGTCTCCACAGAAATACACTGATACCGACACTTCAGCACATACTACAGTAGTACTTTACTAGCAGCCACAAGGCCTGAAGATAGTGGTAGTGGCCCCAAAGTATCTTACTGCTACCCCGATGGCATATAAGGAGCATCATAACGCTTTTTTACAGAACTGGTAGTATGTTTGTAGTAGCCTTACACTGTATCGCCATCTCAGCAGTGGCCTGAAGTATCATACGAGCATCAGTACCCTGCCAAGAGGATCCCCGACATTTGGGTCCTGCCCCGATAGTATCCCAGAAGTATCTTACCACCCTTTTTTCTAGCACCCTCGTAGTATCTTGGGAGTATCCTACAGATACCCTGCCGGCATCCCGACAGCATCCCGCTAAGCAAGGAGTACTGTCCTGATAGCACCTCAGCAGCGTCATGATACACCAGTATTATCACAGTAGTACACTGATACTACTGTAGTAGAATCTGAGTAATGGCCCTGTAGTATCTGAGATACTCGGCAGCGTTGCGGAAGTGTCTCAGCGGTATCGTTTGGGGTACCCAGGCGGTACCCCGGTAACTCCTCAGCAGCACCCTGACAGCAGCGCCTTCATGCTACACCAAGAGCATCCTTGTAGCAGCTACTGAGCAGCGCAGCATTGTTGTGACGCTGTACTGCTGTGACGATGCTACTACAGGCAGCAGCAACCTGCTACTACGTCAGGAGCATTCCCATAGCATCCCAGTTACATCCCAACAGTGCCCTGGTAGTATCACAGTAGTATTTGACCCTGACAGGATCCCAGGAGTGGTGCAACGGCACCCAGCTATTATCTTAGTAGTATCCTGGTAGTATCTTGGCAGTGCGATGTAACACCCAGGCATTATCTCAGTGCCACGCTACTACGCTGACCGCATCTTAACCATCTCTCTCATAGTATCCTGAGAGTACCCTGACGGTGGTACCCTGAAGATGCTGGGATTATCTTAGTAGTATCCTGATAGCATCCTGGTAGTGCCCTGGTATCTTAGTTGTGTTCTTGCAGTACCCCAGTAGCATCCACGGAGTATCCTGAGAGTATCTTAGTGCCACCCCGAGAGCGCCTTAGGGCCGCCTGCGGAGCACCCTGGCAGCGTTTCGGTAAGCTCCCGACAGCATCTTAGGAGCATCCCAGTGGTATCCTGCGAGTATCTCAGCTGTGCCCTGACAGCATCGCACTACTCCCTCACTACTGAGTCGTATCTTAGCAGCAGCCTCATAGGAAGCAAAGAGTAACCCAGTAGTAAACCAGTAATAGCCCAGTAAAGGCGCCGCTACCCCAACCCACTCACCCAGCCCCGGTCACGCTTCCCCTGGGGAGGGGAGCAGAAACACGCGCAGCTTTTGGGGGAAAACCCGGCGAAACTGGGGCTTTGAGTACTGCCTGCACACACCTGCACCTGCACCCCCTG